GGACCTGATAGAAGGGAGAAAGAGCAGCAACTGGTTTCACGGAATCTCGCATCAGATTGAACGGTGGTGAAAGCCTACAAGTGCAACCAGGATATTTGACATTCAATTTTATAGGGAAAGATGCAAACTAAGCTAATCTGTATAGTCAGTAAATACTCCAACCTTTCACATATAGGTTCACTTAGTTCTCCAAGCCAGGAGATCATATCTTTAAGTTTACGTCCATCAAGCTGCGTGTTAAGTGAAAACGTATGTCGCCGGGAGCACCCGTCTGACCAAATGACAAAATACACCAAGCAGCTTAGTAAAAGTCACTTTTTTCAAGTTGTCATGTCTTATGACTCGCTTGCATTTCCAGTGACACAATAAGACAACTTTGTGTCAAATCAGTACCGGGAAGGTCACATGAGGTTGTGGGCTCTGAAATTTACTATTTAAAAAAAATTAATCTATATTTTGATTGTTTACAAATGCAAATTCATGCGTAGACGATCTGACGCACATGGAGATTACCCAAAGCAAAAAATTCCATGCATGCCCACTAAATAATCAACAAATAATGCACAACTCCTACCACAGGACATAAAAAAATATGATTTTGCAGTTGGCAGTTTCCTGTACAAAAATTGCAGACATCTAAATACAGACACCCGACACTCGCTCACCAGTATGGCATCGGATTCTCATGCCCACACACATCAACATTCTGTTGTCGCTTGAAACGAAAAGGCCATCGTGTTTGAGGGAAAAACCATTGCCGCTGTGGCTCCATTTAAACATTAATTGCATATGTACGATGCAGGAAGTCAATTAGGCTAAACACATTGTCTAGAAAGGCATAAATCAGTCCTTCGTCATATGTTTTGAAGTCCTAGATGACTGTGCCTCTTCAGGAAAATGGAATTGATCAAGCGCTATCAAGTCTTCAAAATCAGCTTCAGATATATTGCCATCTTTTCATGTTTCTTCATTTTCCATTTCACCTTCATCTTACTTTTCTTTACATTCCTTGTCAGCGTCACTATCCTCAACTGCAACCCTGGTTTTGCGATGGGACGTCACGTTGTTGCCCTTTACATTGTCTTGAGGGGGAACATTCCATTCAATGCTTAGAGGCCCTCGTCTAGTCTTGTGCTACGTAACAATTCAAACCATTAAATTCGTTAGTCAGGATGGGACTTGTTACATTCTTCCCATTCTTCTTCTTCTTCTCACATGGACAGATATTTGATG